ATTCATCAAGGAAGGTGCCGGGTTTTCTTCTAACCCAAGCACATTCGACCCTTTTCTAAGTTCATCAGGGGCAAATTACAATGACAAACTTATTGTAACTGCGATAAAATCTGCATTCCGCTGTGATAGTGATTTTAAAATTTATCTGTTATGGAATTTTTTTTTACAAGACAGGTGTTTCAATATAAAGAAGCTGGCCGGAAATGAGTAGAAATGCAAAATTAAATGTTATATGCACTTTAATATGCTGTTGCTATATACAATGAAAACAATACAGGGTGCGATGGGTAAATTGTCGCCAATTTATATTTTTCATTTCGCGCGTTCGCGTTGTTTGTTTTTAATTTTGTCGACTACAAAGTAGAATAGGGTTAGTTGGCCACCGTCTGTGGAAAAAAGAGCACCATGACGCAATTCACTCTGCCAAAAAATTTATAAAAGGCATGCTGTACTGCTTTGCATTTGCACCGAAAGCTCCAATAAGAACATTTCAGAGTGTTTAGGTTTAAATATGAGGACAGTGCAGGAGTTCGGAAAGAGTAGGATGAGTCTAATGGTGAGTACGAGTTTGTTTGGAGCGATCACTAGTGATGGTGACGTTATGTCTTCATTCACCATCCCATAGGGTCTTAGGCTTAACACGGAGGCCTACATCAATTGCCTTGAGGAAGTAGGTCAAGACGGTGGCTGGTTGAAAACCCTATGTCTGGCAACAGGACTCCGCACCATGCCACAAAAGAGGAGAACACAATCATGGCTGTCAGACAATTTCTGCAACCACATCATCCATTAAATCTGGCTACCTAACATCCCAGACTTCAAAATCCTTGATTATTGTGTGTCGGGCGCAGTTGAGTGAGAGACCAAAGATTAACTTAAGGCAAGGATTATGCCAGCATTCACCAACTTAAACAAGGTGACCGCCCACAAAAGTTGCAGGATATTCCGTAGTCATCTGGGGACCGGGGTTGAAACCAATGGAGATTTTATTTAATAAATTTACTGTTTACTATTACAATGTAATTTACACGACAATTTATCCATCGCATCCTATATATATTTAAAAAAAAGATTGCCTTATCAAAAATGGAATACAATCCTTTTTTTCTTTCTTATATTGACCTTTTTAAGGTTATTTGGTAGATAGCCTGTATATATATATATATATATATATATATATATATATATATGTGTGTGTGTGTGCGCGCTTGTGTGTATGCGTGTGTTTGCTTATGCGTGTGCAAAAATTCAGAAATATAAATTATGTATCTTCAAAGACAGTAATAAAATAAACGACAAGTCGAAAATCTTTTTGCCGGTGCGTTTCGTTCCATGAAGAATTTTACCAAAGCAATTGATTCTTGCTTTGATGTTTAAGGAAAGAAGCCCCTCGGCATAAAAAAGTTTTTCTCTCGTCATTTCACACACACACACACACACACACACACACACACACACACACACACACACACACACACACACTATATATATATATATATATATATATATATATATATATGGGATAACGATATATAAAGCTTTCTATATCAAGAACAGTTTGGAGGAAAGATGTATGAAAAAGTGTAAAAAGTTTTCGTATGACGCTCTCCGCCCCTTAGGCCTTCATCGGATTAAGTTTCTTTACGTTAATGCGTCGACACATGAGCACAAACGAGACATCCAGGAAATTTTAAATTTAGAATTTTTAAAAATGTGTTTCAGATATATAATATAGCCAATTTCATTTACATGAATTTAATGGTGAAAATTTTTATGAAATCTGAGGAACTTCATGACGGATCCTTGTTAAATTTGGCTGGGGTGAGTCAATACAGCGCTCAATATTCTATAGACAGAGACACATATAGTGTAAACGTTAAATTTTTTAGGTTCGGTGGAATAATAGAGGAGGCACGAGGGAGTAATTGATAGCGGCATCGGAGAGCCGAGTTCGAATTCCAGGCGAATCCATTACATTCACTTACGTTCTAATATCCTTGGGAAGGGTATGGAGCCTCTTCTACAGCTATGGGTAAATAGCAGGATGGACCAGGTTCTATAACCTTGGATGACAACTGTCTACCGCAAAAAGAAATTGCGACCCACTGCCGGAAAAAAAATCTGCCTCGTCAGTCATGTATTGAAAGATACATTATAGCCGAAGTGTGTATCACGCATGGCACATAACTAAACTATTCAAAATATAAGTTTCTTCTTCTTCTTTGTACCGACGCCCTTCGGGATGTGGGCGATCATGGTTCTCCACAACTTCCCTTCTTTTCTGGCTTTTAATAAGACCTTTCTTTTTGTTATGTTTCCTAATCCCTGTTCTGTCAACCATTTACACATGCTCGTTAGGTAAGTTATATACTGCTTTCCTATGGCTCTTGTGCCTTCAATATATCCAAGCTCGCTTTCCTCATTATGACCCCTATAAATTTCAATTTTCTCTTTTTTATTGTAAGTATAAGTATCCTCCTCGTTACTGAAATGTTCACTTCATGGGAATCTCAGTATCCTTCTGTAGAACCACATGATACGTGTAACTAGAAGTTTTACGGTGGTGGGACCGATCGTCATATGCTTAAAATTAAGTAATTCCCCCCCCATATATATTGTTGAGGGGTCCACCCCTTTTTATACAAATGGACTCACCCAGTGTATACTTATACTACTGCCAGTGAATACCCGAGAGTCGAGTCCAGAGTGACAGAGTAAAAGGTTGTAGGTAACCGGAAGAGTGAGGTAACAACGTTGTAGGAGTCACAGTGAGCGAGCACGTAGACTCAGTCAGAAGTCATACAGCGATACTTCAATACCAAAGACTGTATATATATTTGGCTACTAACCCGTATTCCTGGAACTACTAACCTGCTTTACCAGTTTGTATTATTACGTTAATACATTGTTTTCATATATTCATTCTTGGCGTTTGTTATTTATTGGTACCGGATTTCAACTCGGAATCCACAACATATATATATATATATATATATATATATATATATATATATATATGTCATCCACAGATAGATTGATTCGCTGTTTCACAGCTCATTAGTATGGTTAGACACCCGATTGCTTCAAGCCAGGATCGAAAACCGATTGATTCGGCAACACTCCGAATACTGGGTTGGTATAGATGGAATAAAATTCTGATAACCAAAACCACTATTTTTAAAAACGTGCTAAATAAAAAGTAGAGCAAATAATATTTATTAAAAATTATAACATTAGCATGTTATAACATCACTACAAAAATAACCATTTTGTTTCAACACTTCTGGTGTCTTATCAAGTGATGGTGTTGAATAAACACCATCACTTGGTAAAACACCAGAAGTGTTGAAACAAAATGGTTATTTTTGTAGTGATTTTATAACCTGCTTATGTCGTAGATTTTTAATAAATATTATATATGTGTGTGTGTTTCAACATCTTTACTAAATAAGAAAACTGGATAACAGTATAATATCTCTTTACTTACATCAAGTCTCAATATATTTTCCTATATAAACTGCTTATACTTTGTTAAAATGGCCTTCATCAGTATTCAAATGAGTCAATGTTCAAATTTTACCATTCATGAAATAAACGGCTAATATTACTATTACTATTACCATAATTCTGTGTGTGAAAAGAATATTTCTGTAGATTTTATTCGATCAGGATTAGATGAAGTACAACATATAGTGACAATTCAAATGATTCCCTAACTCGCTATCATCAATTGTGTCCGAGGCAGACATGGTCATCGCCATGCCGAATATAAAGCCTTTTAAGAAATGACACCTGAATTGATATATACAGCTGACCCCTTTCATTTGGGTTTACCGTTTTGGCTGCATGTCCTGAACATGAAGCTGACCTTTTTATACTGCGAGAGTATTGTCGATTACGAAACAAAAACTTAAAGGAAAGATTTATGGCTTCCCAATTTCCGTAGTTCATTTAAAAAAAATCTCGTATTTCCTTTATGCTAAGATGATACAAGTGGAAAGACGCACTTCATAATTAAGTAGGTATATTTTTGAAAAGAAATATTTGAGGATTTAATATGGCAAGTACAAGTCGGTGACGTTACGGTGTCATTTTATTTCTGTCTCACCCATTATTTTTTTAAAATCATTTCACCCCAAAGAAGAGAGTAAAGCCACATAAGATACAAGAAAGAATAAGAAAAAAAAATTATTAAGGAGCGAGAACAATAAAAGAAGACAGTAGATAACGTTTGACATTGCATTCAAATTTTTGAAGATCAATGTTCACTGGAATCAAGAATCCGGAAGAGAGTTCCACTAGTGCAAAGTGCCAGAGAAGAAACTGTTAATATAGAAAATAGGGTTACGTCTTGCCAACTGAACTGTAATTTGACGAGACCTTGATGAGTTATAATCGCCCAGGTAATCATAGAACATGATGTGGAAGAGGAAGAGTTTTTATTAGATGTTTAATGTTCATATTTTTTTCGAAATTAAAAATTCGCCTTAAGATTTCTGAATGTGAACTTCTTCAGAACATGGGGAGGTTATGGCTCTTCACAACTACCTCTCTGTTTTGCCATACCATTTACGCAAGATCGTTAGGTTGCAGTAATAATAATAAATCGGCAAGTAGCAACTGAAACATTAATAATGAAAAATCTTTGAATATGCAAGAAAACTAATTCTTTAAGAATTTTTAATACTAGAATTCAACCAGTATAAGACACGAAAGCCACTCAAAACCGAGGGATATTCTTAAAATGGTACTGATGAAGAGGTTGTCTGAGATGAAAGAAAGAGGATGTGGTAGGAAATGAACATTGTGAAAATAAGGAGGATAATTAAGGATTGACCCCTGAATTGAAGAAGTTAAGATTGTGGGGTTCAGGGAAATATCCATATGGGAGTCTGTTCCAAAATCTGACAGTACTTTGGAAAATACTGTCTGAGTGAAAATTTCTTCTAGTCTTTAAGACAAGGGAATAAATGACAGTGATTCGTCTTCGTGGAAATAGCATGCTCTATGCGAGCAGTAAAGTACACTTGTCTCTTCTATCTATCTATCTATCTATCTATCTATCTATCTATCTATCTATTAAACTACCCAGCAAGTCAGCTGTCACATTCTGTTATCTATCTATCTATCTATCTATCTATCTATCTATCTATCTATCTATCTATCTATCTATCTATCTATTAAACTACCCAGCAAGTCAGCTGTCACATTCTGTTATCTATCTATCTATCTATCTATCTATCTATCTATCTATCTATCTATTAAACTACCCAGCAAGTCAGCTGTCACATTCTGTTATCTATCTATCTATCTATCTATCTATCTATCTATCTATCTATCTATCTATCTATCTATTAAACTACCCAGCAAGTCAGCTGTCACATTCTGTTATCTATCTATCTATCTATCTATCTAGTAAACTATCCAGCAAGTCAGCTGTCACATTCTCTTATCTATCTATCTATCTATCTATCTATCTATCTATCTATCTATCTATCTATCTTGTAAACTACCCAGCAAGTCAGCTGTCACATCTATCTATCTATCTATCTATCTATCTATCTATCTATCTATCTATCTATCTATCTTGTAAACTACCCAGCAAGTCAGCTGTCATCTATCATCATCTATCTATCTATCTATCTATCTATCTATCTATCTATCTATCTATCTATCTAGTAAACTACCCAGCAACTCAGCTGTCACATTCTGTTATCTATCTATCTATCTATCTATCTATCTATCTATCTATCTATCTATTGAACCGTAAATTTGTTTCAGAACGAAAAGTAGGCGGGTTAGAATAATTGGAAATAGATAATTTTCCTCTTGATTATAATTTATCAAATTTGTCAGATCAAAAGAGTTATTGTTTCTCATGTCTTCAGGTTTGGCGTTCAGAAATCGCTTTTGATATTTAAAAATGATTCTACCTTTAACGTGCGTCTGATTCAATGTTATTCCTTTGTTAAACACTACTCACTTTCACAGCTTAACACCAATTCAATACATTTTAATACAGATGCTGCCTAAGTTAATTTTCTAATATTTCTTTCAAACACATTAACAAACATTTAATTTAGTTTAAGCAAGCTACATAAAGAATATGTAATGAATGTTCGGGTTTTTGATAATAAACTAAACTAATAACCTTAAATTACACCCCACTTTAATTTTCAGAGCTTATAAGGTTGTTACATATATGTTTGTTTGTTTTTGTTTGATGTTCTGTGAATGATCTCGAATCTTTTGTAGCATTTTCTGTTTTTTGGTATCTTTGGTTATCTTGTGAAATTGAAGTCTAACGTTATTGAAATTTTATTTTGGAATAGACACTCGTATGAGATAAAATGTCAAGTAGACAAAAATAAGCATGTTCGACACCATCTTCTATTTGCGTTTAATCAACGTCATAAAGCTTACAAATCTGCCCGAGGCATTAGTGCTGTGTACGGATACGACATCATTATCGACAGAATGGCAGAGATGGTTTTTCCCATTTCAAGGAGGTGAAGTTCAAACTTATAGACTGTCCGCGTTCTGGACAAGCTGTTCAGGTTGATAAGAAACAACTGTATACGATGATTAAACAACTGCGCCAACCCACTATGGAAGTGCCTCAGAAGATGGTAAACTCTTCTGTTACTATTGCACACCATCTTCACTAACTGGGTATGGTTCAGAACTACTAAACTATCAAGGCTAAGAAAGATGTTGACATACGAAGAAAATGAAATGAAAAAAGCAAGAAGAGGCAGAAGAAAGCAAATGAAGGCGAAAATGCATCAAAGGAGAAGAATGAAACACAAGAGGCTTACAAGATGATGATGACGATGAAGAAGTAAAAGAAACAAAGAAGAGACCAAGAAAGAAAGAACGGAAATTTCGAAAATGGAACAAAGAGGAAAAAAGAAAACAAATAAGACGAAGAAAGTAAAATATCGAAGGAGCCACTAAAAATGAATAGAAAAAGAAGAAAGCAAGAAGGAGAAAACAAGAAGATACAAAGAAGGAAGAGAAGAAGAAGAAAAAAGAAGACACCAAGAAGGAAGAGAAGAAGGGAAAAAAGACAGCAAGAAGGAGAAGTCACTAAGACAAAACAAGAAATCATGAGGATGAAGAAACCAAAATGAAAATGAAACAAAAAAAATAGTGAAGACAAGGTGGCACGAAAAACAGCAATAATAATAATAATAATAATAATAATAATAATAATAATTTTAGTATATGTGCTTGATAATTCCTAGTAAGCAAGCATTGGTACTGCGCAGCAAGGATAAAACCTTCAGTTTCCGCTTTCAACCCTGCACTACGTAGCCACTGATGGGTACGGGTTTTGTCTACGTCAGCTTGTTTGGTACGGGCAGAGTATTGGCCATGAAGCGGTTTATCTTGCCATCGCTTCTGTATCTGGTCGGTTGCATTCGTCTTTGCTGTCTTTTTTAAGTATTTTGCAGTTTCAGCCGGTGTATTGTGCTGTAGTTGCATCTCCATTTTGAATTTGTTGGCTTCTTTCATTACGGAGTAAAGACGCTTACTACTTTCATGTTCCTTGACGCATACCATCATCCAGTCTTCTGTAGTTTCCAAATAATTTTGGAGGCTAATTGTTGTAGTTTTATAGGACAGTTCTAGTTGAACTAATCCTCTGCCTCCTTTGGATCTGGGCACATACAGACGATCAACATCAGCTTTGGAATGATGCATGCGATAGCAAGTGAGTAGCTTTCTCGTTTTGGCGTCCATTCGCTTAATTTTAGCTATGGTCCAGTTAAGGACATTAAAGCTGTATTGCACCACAGAGACAGCCATGTGTTTATGGCTGATATCCTGTTTTTTGAGTTTAGCTCAGTATTTAGTACCAGACGTACACGCCTGTAGTACTCTTTTCTTATTTTTTCCTTCATTTGGGGGTGTTGTATGCCATCTCCTTCGCTAATTCCTATGTACTTATAAGCTTCATCATGCTCCAGTTCCCTAAGCTTTGTGACAAAATCTAAATCTATGAAGGGTGTTTCTGTAATTCTACCTTTCTTGAATGTTACTTTTGCACATTTATCTAATCCGAAGTCCATACCTATGTTGTCACTGAAGTATTTTACAATATTGAGGAGGCCTTTCAACTCATTGTCGTCTTTGGCAAAGAGTTTGAGATCATCCATGTAGAGTAGGTGATTGAATATTTTCTTATTTATTTTGTAACCATAGCTACTGTTGTTCAGTTCATGTGTAAGAGGGATTAAGGATAAACAAAACAGAAGGGGTGACAGAGAGTCTCCTTGAAAGATTCAACGTCGGATATTCAGACGGTTGGATATGGCAGTGCCCCCTGGTGTGACTAAGGTATAGTTTGGTGTTCCACATTCCCATGCTGTGCTTAAGGAAATTTAATACCACAGGGGAGACTCTGTACATTTCCAAAGTCTTAAGGATCCAAGAATGTGGAACACTATCAAAGGCTTTACGATAATCAATCCACGCTGCACTTAGATTCCTGCGTCGTCTCCTGCAATTTTCCAGGATCATTTTATTTATCAGAAGTTGATCTTTGCAGCCATATGAACTTCTTGTGCATCCCTTCTGTTCCAGCAGGAGAATGCTGTTTGTTTCGAGAAAGGAATAAGTACGGTTCGTCAGTACAGACGTGATCAACTTATACGTTGTGGAGAGACATGTTATCGGTCTATAATTTTTCGGGTCTTCTGTTTCAGTTGTTTTTGGTATGAGGTATGCCATACATTCAGTAATCCATTCCGGGATTTTATTGGGATTATTTACAAGCGTTGATAATGTTTTTGCAAGAATTTCATGGGTAGATGAGAGATGATACAGCCAGAAATTGGGCAACTTGTCATTTCCTGGGGATTTCCACTTTTGGGATTTCGTTAGAGCTCGCCTAACATCATCTGTGGATATATTTTCCCATTCTTGCAGAGGTGTATTCAGCAGTCGTTCTTCTTCACGCCGTATCTATTTTGCATTTGGGTTATATTCCTTTGGGCTGCTCCAGATATTTTCCCAAAATATCTGTACATTATCAATCGATGGTGGCCTTTCGACATGTATAGGTGTTTTTCCAATTTCCCTGTAAAATTTCTTAAGATATGTTCAGAATATTTTATTTTGGCGACAGAACCTACAACGTTTTTCGTATCGTCTCGTTCTGTGTGCCTTTAGCTGAAGTTTCTGCTTCAGCATTTCCTTGATTGATGGAATATCAATAGGGATTTAATGTTATATTTCCGCTTGATCTTTTTGCATTTACGTGTGGAAATATTAGGGTTTCTGGTGAGCTCATCTAATATAGAAAACTCACATCTGATTTGTTTTATTTCTCGTATCAGTTTGATTTTCCAAGCTGGTTCTCTGTGTCTGTTAATTTCATTTATTGTCTTGACCCCAAGCTTCCGAGTCGCTGCTAAAGCTGTTGCATATATGACGTTGTTAACTTCTGTGATGTTTCCCGGTGGTTTATCTGTTAACAGTGTTTCCAGAGCAACATTGTATATTTTCACGATGTGCTTGTTTGAATTCGCCATATGGATTTTCGGGAGCTGGTCTTTGTCTAACAATTGTATGAAAGTTACTCTCCTGAGTACTTGGATGACGTCATTTTTCGCTTCGGTGATTTCAGCCTCGTGGCTTTCGAGGAATTCTAACTTATTGTCACTGAAGATGACTGCAGGTACATTTTCTGGAGAACTGCAGGTTGTGTTTAAGGTAGAGTCGTGGGTTTCATTTGGAGATTATTTCGTATTTCATTCGCTTTAGCGTCCACCTCATCCTCTGTTGCATTCCTTATTTCTACATTCGTCTCAAAAGAGTTTGAGTGATGGGTCATAGTATTTTGTCTTATATCTAATTTTATCTTATCTATTTCTGCCTTTGAGAGTCTGCTGTTTCGCATGATGTCCCTACGGACATTGGCAAGCATGTTTGGATTGAGGTTAGGTCTTATATCATTTCCCACCATACTTCTCCATATTTGGTATGTTTGATTGGTGGTGTTCTTTGCTGGGTTTTCGAGTGCAGTGAAGAAGGATGTCATGACTTGTCGATACTCTTCGCGGCTCTATTTCGTTCGTTTACTTTTTATTAGTCGATTTGGTATTGAGTCACTTGGTCCAAGGTTGGCAATAATCCGGGTTTGGTGACCTAGAGTCTCTTCGTGTGTGGAAGAGTTTGTTCCAGTGACAGACTTTTCGTCCTCAGACTGGGTCCTCTCTGAGGGACGCGGCCCTTGTTGTCCCAGTTGACGGCCGACCGGTATGAAATATTATTCGTATTCATTGAAATTGGTAGAGATGCGTTTTAAACTTGACCTCCAAGGGGTAATTATGTTCAGGTTACCAGCTTTAGGTCGAGTCTCGAAGAAAACCCAAGAGCACGCCCAAACAATGAGATTGTGGATTTATTAATATATCGAAGGTAGAATAGTTCATAATAGTGTATGGTATTCAGTGGGGTAGACGATACTGTATAAGTCGGAGTGACCCCTACAAGGAGCATAATCAGATTTTAGTATATAGACTTAAAAAAAAGAGGAAAAGAAAAGAAAAAGAGAAAATATTGTGTCAGCCTAAAATGCAGATTCTGTGATAAATATCCAGAATCAGGTTGCACGATGTTGGCAAGCACTGAATATAAAACCCGACATGACAGAATGGGCCAATATCTGCACTGGAAAATCTGCAACTTCTACGGGAAGAAAACTGAAAGAAACTGGTATGAACACCACCCAGATCCGTTTACGGAGATAGGACCTGTTACAATTCTATGGGACTACACAATACACACTGACAGAACA